GATGGTCTGAGCGCTGACCCCGAAGGTGTCTGCAGCAGCAGACAGCGCACCACGCGGTAGGGCGCCGACTGTCGCTCGGTTGAGGAGGGCCGACACCACGAGGGCACGTTCCGCGTCCGAAAGGTGCTTGGTCTTGCGGTGCGAGGTCTTGTTGGGGTGCGACATCGAGTAGCTTGTTGGGTTTGGTAGGTGGGTGCTTGGTCGGGGAGGGGCGAAATCGTTAATGGCAGTGGTGGCTTCTTCATCGATGAAAGCATCATTGGAGCTTAAGCGCTTCCCCTGGCGCCAATTTTTCGAGCTGTGCGAACCGCTATGAGCAGGCGGTTGTATTACTACCAATCACACGGGCATACAACTATTTTTAACCAATTGCGAGCCAAACGTGCTCAAACTTCCAGTAGATCTGGAACGGGCTGGTAGCCATTTCCTGATGGCTACATCTTCGTCAAAGTGCGATTAGTGCACATACAAATTCCCAGTGTGACGTGGCAGTCCCTTGCGTTGCTGAGCCGCATCGTGGTGTCTCCCAGTGAGCCCAGATGCACAGGCAGTCGCGGACGTCTCATTCTCTCTACCGACGCCTGCGTCGCCGCCCCCTCCTTCTCCGAGCGTGCCAAGCGCTGTGTCGCCCGAAGTCAGAGCGGACATCGCGCTGGGCGTGGAGCGCTTGCAATTCGCAACACTTTTGGGCGAGCGCAAGAAGGCGGTGGCTGCTCTTCAATCGTTGGCGCAGAAATTCGACGCGTCTCGCAGTCCCGGCGGCCGTAAGAGCAACAGCAGCAGCGTCGACCCCAGAGTTGAAGAGCAGGAGCTGGGAGATGCCACCGTGCCCGCCGTGCTGGCCGCGCTGGTGTCCGACCCGCGAGACACGGAGCTCATGGAGGCCATGCTCGAGTTCCTGCAGTCCGTCGTGAGCCGCGCACCGTCGGCCGCCCTATTGCTGCTCGAGCAGCCTTCGACCACGGCCACGGCCACGTGGGTCATGCAGAGATGCCTCACGCTGCTGCAGGACCCGTCGCTGTAGTGCGCGCGCTGCAGGACGTGCAGCCGGCGCGTTCGCCAAGTCGGTGCTGGAGTGCAAGGAGGGTTTGCGCTGCCTGCTGGAGGTCGTGGAGTACCGTCGAGAGCACATTCGCGACGCGGCGCTGGCCGTGCTGGGCCAATTGACGGGCCGCGACAAGAACGCGCAGCAGTTCCTGGCCTTTGAGGAGGGGTTCGCCAGGCTGTTCCAGATCATGGAGGTGGAGGGGCTGGCGGAGACGGGTGCCAGTCCGGCGTCCAGTGTCATCGCCGACTGCCTGCAGATCGTTAACAACATGGTGAGAGACAACCTCATGACGCAGACGCTGTTCCTCGAGATGACGTACCTCGAGTCCCATGTGCCGAGGCTGTTGAGGTTGCCCGGGATCGACGGAGGAGAGGAGGAGGAGGATGCAGCCGCGTTGAGCAGGAGGAAGCGCGTGCTGAAGCTTGGCCTGCAGCTCGTGCGGTTCCTCGTGGCGGGGCTGTATGAAGGAGCGCGCGAGTCGTCGCTGGATGAAATGGCACAGAGAGACCGTGACCGGAAGGGACAGGAGCTGGCCAGGATACAGAGTCTCGTGGCCCGACAGGAGGCGCTCATGGGCGCCGTGGGGGAACTCGTATGCTGTCGCAGTGACGCGCTGGCCGATTTGAGACTGCAGGCTCTGGATTTGTTACGACTGGTGACTGAGCACAACGGCAGCGCGCAGATGCTTTTGGTTAACTTGTACGCGTCACCTTCCGGCCGGAATGCTCTTGCGGAGTTGGTAAATCTTGATGTGGGCAACGGAAGTGACGAGTCGCCCATTGCTGCGGCGTCGTCAGCACTGCTGGATACGCTTTTTGAGGAGAGCGAGGGTGCTAGGATGGCCATGCTGCAGCATATCCAGTCCGCACCGCCACCTCCGATGTCCAGTGGAGGAGACGGTGGATACGATGCGTTTTCAGCTCCTCCATCGGCGGGTCGAGTTCTTTTGGATGCGTTTATCTGTAACGCTGAGTTCATTATCCAGTGCGACGGTAATGGCAAAACTGATACGCTAAACAATAAGCTGGTGGTGGCATGGAAGGCAAGTCATCGACTGGCAGGTCTACTGTCGAATAGCTCATACTGCAAAGAGCTTGCACTCCGCGTGCCTGCTGAGTACGATGACTCGGAAGCTCGAGCCGTGGCTGGAGGATTGTTCCTGTCGCGCTGCCTGTGGTTATTGCGCTTATGGTGGAGGACGATTTAAGCGCTGCACTTCAGTCAATCGTGTTTCAGGCCAAACTGTCAGTACTTCTGTTGCTGATCTGCTGGTGTCATGGGTGCCCGAAAGCCGTCCGAGACATCGTAGGCTCCGTGACAAACTTGTCGGTGCTGGCGGATAGTCTTTCCGACGAGCAGTCTATTGCTTCTTCTCGTGGTGTGTCCGAGATGACACAGCTACGGGGCCTTATTGCCCTGCTGCAGGAGTGCTGTCTGGAATTTCTGTGTGAAGACGAGGAAGAGCAGGCCCTGAAGATTGCAAGTGCGGCACTAGTACCAGTCGCGGTAGAACAAGATCAAGGACTGCAGATGACCCGTGGCCAGCTTCTTCAGATGATCAGCAAGATCGTTCATACAACATGAACAGGTAGTGAGCCTCGCTGCCATCGCTCGATCCGTCTGCGTCTTCTTCGCTGATGTCGTAAGTAGCGCGATACGCTAGCAGTGTCCGCGAGCTTTGAGTCTTGCTCGTCCGAGCGCAAGCGATTAACGCTGGGGTTTGCTGAAACTTAACCACCTTTACGGTGTTTTATCGCGAGATGGCTGAACAGATTCAGAAGCGCGTCATCGCGATTTACACCGGAGTGGACCAGGGATCTACCCCATCTGCAGGCGTCGAGTCGGGAACTCCAAGCGCAATCGGCGCCTATCAGGATCTCATCCGCATGCAGGACAAGCAGATTCATGACCTGCAGCAAGAAGTGGAAAGTCTGAAGCAGCGTGTGGCTAATGGAGCGGGTGATTCAAACGCTGCCAACGCTTCTATGGCAGACCCAGGCCGTAAGAACGATCTAATGGAGATGTTGTCCACCCAGCGTGAGCAATTTGAGCGAGAGAAGGCTGAGTTAGAAAGCAAAATCAAGAGCATGTCGGAGTCAGCGCTCGAGATGGAGACTCGTGTGAATGGTCTTACGATGGCGTATGAGCAGCTTGAGCGAAAACACCAACAGCGTGGACAAGAGCTGGCTGCAGCTCACTCTGGAGTGACCGGGGTATCTTCACCTGCTGCTTCTAGCGGGCTGGAAGAGCAAATCGCTATGTTACAAGCTGAATTAGATGCGGAGCGAGAAACGAATCGGCGACTACGAAGCGAGGCTACTGCAGCTAAAGGTGGGGTGGCGTCGCAAGCACTTCGTGAGAAGGGTGATGCTGAGCTTGCTGATGCGCGCCTCATGACCCAGCTCGAGGAGCTGCGTGTTGAAAATAAGCAGAAGGATGAGCAACTAGCCGAATGTACTCAGATGCTGGAAACACTTACCGAAGGGCAGAACCTAGTGAAACGGGACAACGAGTGGCTGAAAGCAGAGCTTACAGAGTTGCGCTCAAGAACCGATCAAGCAGGCGAAGCAGACGGAACCGAGTGCATGAGCGTTGTGGATGGTCTTCTGGATGACAAGGCGCGCTGAGAACGTCGTGTTGAAGAACTGGAAGCTGCCGCGCGCGCTGCTTACGAGAAGGATCAAGAGTTCTACGCCAGCGGATTCAGGAAGTAGAAGCGGTGCGCCGAGCAAGTCCCCCCGTGAGCGTGGAGTGTGCTGCACTCGAGACTGCGTTGCCTACCGATGAAGCCCTCAAGACTGAAGCAGATGTGGGTGGAGAATCACAGGAGGTAAATGAGGATCAACGCTTAAAGGAGCTCGTATCTACCCAGCTCGAGGAACTGATGGAGTTGCGCGCTCTTGTGGCTGAAATGGGGACTGTAGCCATCGAGCGCGACGCTCAGGTCAAGCAAGCTTCGTTCCTGCAGGAACTGGTAGCAGGGTACGACGTCCAGTCGCGCCGCGACAAGAGAAGTTCGAAGCGACCGTGCGTGAGTTGGAGGACGAGCTGGCCCGCGCCTTCTTAGAGAAGAAGGATGCCGGCCGCAAGGCGAAGGCCGCGGTGAAGGAGCTCGAGAATGAGGTGGCGCGCTTGTTCCTCGCCAAGGTGGAGTTGGAGAAGGAGCTGTCTGTTCACCAGCAAGGCGAACGTGGCAGTCACGCAGAAAACGGAGAGATGCTGAGTGCAAATGGATCGTTCCGAAGATCCATCGCGTCCGAGACCAGCAACGACTCAACCTTCGACGATTTGTTGGTGCTTGGAGATCCAGTGCTCTGTTCTACGTGAAAGTTTAAAGGAAGCCCAGGGAGAAGACGCTGTCGCTGTGGCAATAGAGTTGTCTAGACAACGAGGCGCCGTTGTGTCTGTTTAAGCTTTAAGAAGTGAAGGCAATCAAGGGAAGTTGCATGTCTGCTGTCGTAGTAATATTTGGGAGAAGGAATTCATTGACAATTGATCACTTTTCAACACAAAGCTATCTTAAAGCCATGTTCGTGATCACTGGTTTTTCCACTTGTTCCAGAAGAACGCCAAGATCACTAACGCCCCGTAGGCAGCGGCGACCAACTTGGTGCTAAAACCCGTGAACATGGAGATGGGGTCGTCGACGACGTGAATATGGCTGCCTCCGCTCGTGTCGCGTCACATGTAGCACGACACGCACCGCAGGGACATTGCTTGTCGTCTGTAGCCTTGGACGCGATAGACTCCAGCAGTTGCGCCTGCGTCGGCAGCGTCTCGCGCATGTCCACGACCTCCGAGTAGTTGGAGCATTTCAGCACCTCGTGGTCGAACGCCTTGTCCTTGCTCGCATTAAAGCGGAGGTTGATGAACTCCCCATGGCCAACTGCGCCAACCTGCATCTGGTAGTTGAGGAAGCCCAGCGACGACTTCATGGCCGCAGCCATCGACGCCATGGCCGTGTTCTTGCACGAATCGACGACAGAGCAGGTCAAGTCCTTGGCTAGTGCCACATTCAGTTCCAGCACCTTGGCCTTCTCCTTGCCCGTCATGGGGTCTGGCCGGTAGTTGGTACTAGGCCACGCGTGGGCCATCTGCATGAATTGATCCTGCTCGGGTGAGCACACCAGGCCACACCACAAGTTCATGAGGTTAGCGGCGCAGGCGTCGCACCCGGCGCTGTTCTTGGCGAAGACACTGGCCACCAACTTGAAGTTCTCGGCCATGGCTTACGAGCAGCACGCGTTGTCCTTGTAGGCGGGACACTGGATAGCGAATTGGCCGCAGTGCGGGCCAGCGGCCATGCCGTCCTTGCGGCACACGCAGGCTCCATTGATACACTGCCCCTTGCCATTGCAGTCGGTGGCGTTAGCACACCTCCCGCCACCGATGACACTCGGCCAGCATCTGCAGAAGTAGCCATGTTAGTGAGCGTAATTATGCTGGTTGGTGTACTTACCACACAACTAGGGTTTCCTCGGTGCTTCCAGGCATTGGGGGGATTAAAAAGTTTTCATTGTGTTAATGGGCCAAAGCCAGGAGGTGCTTTGGTTGATAGGCAAGGTGCCGAATGGCAGCCCTAAGGGATGGTGGGAGGGTAGAAAATTCTGTCTATCGAGCTGGAGACGTGACGCTGAGGCTTGTTGGGGAGTGTCGGTCACGGCGGTGCGCCAGGATGTCGACTCGGGGCGGCGCGCTCAGCGACGCAAAACGCAGAATGAGCGGGCTTGTTGTTCATGGTGCTTGAATGTCTCATCCTACAGCGGTTCCTGTCGGCTGACGGCGTGTCGGGTTTCGTCGTGCCTTCCTTCATTCGGAAAAATAATTATCCACTTGTTCACTTTGTTGCACCGTGGACTAATTTCACACTTCGCGAAGGCTGGGATAGGTACATGGCAACGTCGGTTAAATTCATGGAAGTCACTTTTTAGATATTGCGTAAGGAGCAACAGGTCAAAACAATTCGGCTAAGGTACCTAGATAATGCAGCCCGAACGAGCCATGGGCATATCCTGCGCCTGCTTCGCAGCCGCAGCATATACCCGGCCATTAGTACGAAGCACGTGCGATTGTCAAATGAAAAACGAACCCTCGCCTCCATGAAGAACAATCGTCAGTCAATACCAACCTAGACTGACGTTAAAACCGGTTACCGTTAATTAAACATTACATTACTGTAAAGTATCAACGCATAAAATACATTCCGGAAAGGTGCTGAGGAGAGTTCCGAATGATCCCTTGATGCGGCGCGACCTGAGATGTCTCGAACCGTCGATGATTCCTCTCACTTTTCAGTTCGTGCAGTGGCCCCCACCCTCCGCGGGCTCATACCCGCTGCTGTCAAGAACGCATACACGCGTCTACCAATCTACCGATCTAGCCAATCTATCATGCAACCTATCGACGCGGCGTGCTCGATTGCTGCGGCGGCCCCCACCCCCCGCGGGCTCATACACGCCGCCGTGGCACCGAGCACGCTGCTTATCAGCTCATCAATCTTACGACTGACTTTTGTGTGTATATTGTATTTCCTAGTGACGTCATGGTATCGTGCAACGGTGGCGCGCTAGCTGACGATTCGTTCACGCGGGGCACCGCCATCCCGAAGCTATGCCCAAATGCATCGAAGTGTTAGGGCGAATACCATGCTGGATACCGCGCGGCGTTGATTGAATATGTGGGGCACCGCGATACCAGAGCTGTTCCATTTGTTGAAGTTTGAAGGTGGTTGTTCAGACACCACCAACGCCTAACGATTAAGTTACTTTGAGCAATTCGTACACGACCAGGTAGGTGGCGTGTAGTACGACGACACCACTATATCTTAGTAATCGAGCACGAATAGGCCTTTGTAAGGTAATACACCTGCGTAAACGTTCCATTAACCTGCAAGCCCATAGTTTCTTACATGAGCGATCGGATACATACGTTCTTGGGAGTGCTCTCTAACGTATTGCATCATAAAAGTCACACAAATAAGGTAAGAGGCCATTTAAGCCTCCATCCTGCGATACTTTATAATAAAACTTGTGTAAATCAGTAGATTTGTGTTTTGGATGCAAAATTTTAGATTTATAAGACCCTTACACTTGAAATTTGTATTGGTTCAGTACCTACTTTTTCTGTGAACCACATATTTCAAGTATCGAATTAATCCCTATTGGGCTTCTCGTACTACTGAGTAGCACTACCAGGATTAATGGATACATGCGCTTCTTTACTCCGATTTAGTGAGCTTCAATTTCGTCTCGCATTTACACTAGCTGAGCACCTCGTTCACTGCGCTTCCTCGCTGCTAATTTGGGGCGACACTAAATATTGTGCTCTACACAAATTTCGCGATGCCCCCCCAGAGCCGATCGAAACCAGTTCATACAAGAAAGCTTAACGGCCTGATACGCTGAAAAACCTTTTAATTCGTCGTCAAACTTCATTTTAGTTGATCTGTAGTCCTAGGAGTAAGCGAGTGTATCGAGGTTGGTATATCAACACTTCACACGCAGACCTCATGCGCAGACCTCCACCAATGCGGGATTTTCCGAATTTTTCCTATATCCTGGTGATCACTGGGAGAAATGTTGAGGGTTCTTGTGGAGAAGTGCTGAATAAGAATTGTTCTCCGAGAAAAACGGCAGGGCTGATCGACTGGAGGTGTGGGAGATCGGCGATCGAGAGATAGGCAGCAAGGATCTACGGATCAGAAGGAGTCCTTCGGGAGATCTCAAGTGGCCCGATGACGGCGGCGCGTAAGGCAGGACATGTGGCAAGCCGGATTGTGGGTGATCGTGCCCGAACCGCGGCGTGATTCGGGGCCGACCCAAGTTCAGATCGACGACAGAACCCGCGGATCTGAGATGGCCGAGGACAGAAGGTGATAGATCGGCGGCGCATGGCAACCGGCATAAGTCATCGATCGGGAGGGGATCGCCGATCGCCGATCGAGGTCGATCGTGGGTCGCCGATCGGGGTCGATCGCCGATCAGGGCCGATCGGGGCCGATCGGGGCCGATCGGGGATCGACCACGATGGGATGCACATGAAGGACGAAGTCGGGACATGAATCTAGTGGTTGTTTAGTTGTAGGATGGTAGATAAGATGGTAGCGGTAGAGAGACACCTGCTAAACATAAATCAGAGCAGAATTTGCACCGAAGAGCACAAGTCCCCTCAAGTCACCAAGTCCCAGGAACTACAGTGGCCTCGGCAGTGTCGACACTTTGGGTAGTGAACTAGCGGTACGGTTAAGACTGGATTAATACATTGGCCAGCTTGACCTACTCTAGTGATCTATCTCTTGTGTGCAAGTCCTCGATCGACCGGGTATTAGTGCTTGGTCGGCGATCGTTTCTCCTCTCGATCAACCTCGATCCCGCTATAGGAAGCGGCAAGCAACTCAGGAAAGGAAGGAACACACCCGGAAAGGCAACCACAGGCCTTGGATCAACTCCAGGCCGACCGATCGCAGCGAACAACCCTCGATCGGAGCGTACACTCGGACGCAGAGCGAAGACTACCGCGCTGCTCCACAAACAATCCCCGCGTCACGCCAAGACACTCGATCTTCACCAAGTGCTGCATCTTCGGAGCCCCGAGAGAGCAGATCCAGCCCGCCGACGGGTACACAAGGTGAGAACAAGTTCAGCCGATCACGGATCGTTGGGGGACCCCTTCGTTAGTCGGTGTCTGGGCGCTGGTGGGACGCTTGATCAGGCCTTAACCAGATTTTGGCCGATCCCGCTACACCACAATGGTGCGCGTGCCCGGATCTCTTGGGGACTCCGGATTTCACCGGTGGATCTTGGTGCGAACCGAGATCCACTAACAAAACAACTAAGGCGGGATCGGGCCGATACGCGTTCCCTGACTCGTCGATCAGGCTCGATCCGGACTACCTGGACACGATCGCGGACAAGGCCCAGATCGTGAGGAAGAAGCTGAGAGCGACAGGCTTGGGCGACGAAGATCCCAGACCGCCGGCGCTCGACTGGTCTGAGGCTGACCTGGATCGTCAGTATTACTTGAAGAAACTGCAAGATTTTTTGCGTCAAGATCCTGTCATGGTGATCGTGCGGCCAGAGCAGATCGACGACCCGAAGGGCCCGATTTCGGCCCCCAGAGTGACGGATAACAAGCTGATGGCGGTGAAGAACCTACTCGGGCTGTTGAAGGAAGCCGGCTTCGTGGCTGGCGCCTTTGAAGCGAACGATCTTTTCGATCAAGATCTCGATGTGACCCAGATAGCGATCCAGACATTGGTCGACAAGTTGAGACCTTTCGTCGACGTGATCGCGGACAGTCCGGACCTGAAGGTGCCAGATCTAGTGTCGCCAGCTCCCGCGTCGTCGCCGCGGATGGAGTCCACTGGGTACCGATCGTCGTCTCCTTATGTCTCCGCAGCGGAACATGTATCGGATACGTCGTCCGAACCTCAACGGGATGTCCCTCGGCCCTTCAGGATCTGTGATGTTGAACGCGCGATCACGGAGTCAACGTCAGGAACGCATGCAGTCAGGACCTCGGAAGCAGAAACCCAAGTCGACCGATCGGACCACCAGTGCTACCGGATCAGATGCGTCGAATGGCAGACTGGAGTCTTACTTTCAGGCTGCGATAGCTCGATTTCTGAAGGAACAACAGGCCACGGTGGTAACACCGACTTCAGTGGTCGATGACAACGTTGGATCGCGGGACGTGGAGATGGAACCAGCCGGATCGCCGGATCAAGATCCCTCTCAGTGGGAATACGACCCGGACGACATTGATCTACCGAGTTCGGCCCCTGCTGCGGTGGCCACCGCTGCCTCAGGATCCACTGGGTCCTCATTGATCCAGCGTGTACGGATTTCGGCGATGTCCGATCTCAAGGAGTTCAGTGGCAAGAATCAGGACGAAGGTCGCGCCGATCGTGGGTCAGCAAGGTGAAATCGGCGTTCCTGCGAGATCAGGCTACGGACGAAGAGAAGTGCTTGACCTTCGCTGATCTACTGACGGGCCCGGCGAAGAACTGGTACCGCCAGCTGGGCCGATCGACGCGGAATAAGTGGAGCGATCTACTCCGGAGTTTCCAGATCCAGTATTGTGGCCTGGGAGTATCGGTCGCTTGGCAGTATTATCATTCTCGCAAGAGATCGGATGAATCGCCGTTGGAGTACCTCTATCGACTGAATGTGGCGGCTCCACGTGCAAGATTGAAGATCAAGGACGGGGATTCCAAGGCCCGCCGAGAACATGTCGAACACTTTATCGAGACACTGGGCGATCCGGAACTGGCCGATCAGCTCACCTTACTCCGGCTTGCGGACGCGGACGATCTGGAGGAAGTCCTGCGCGCTCGAGAGCGCGCGAAGAGCAGACAGAAGCGATCCGCCTTTGGATCGAAGTATTGTCAGAAAGTTCCGACCTCAGCACCAGCTGCTGCAACCAAGCGGGCAGTGCGTGCAGTACAGATCGCGA